AGTACAGAAAAGCAAACCAGTTTGAGAAGAGAATCGACACAACACCGACAACAAAATTTTTTTAACCTTTTCGTTTTCAATAAATAACTGTATCTGATGTTATTTAAAACGTTTAAAAAATAGCCGAGAAATCACTTTGTTTTAATTACAAATTTTATCATCAATTATCGGGTTGTCAATAACTTATCTAAACGACCTCGTCACTTCACCCGACTACATAATTACTATTATTACTATTACTATTTATTTAATAATGTTAAATATTATTATTATTTATTTAATAAACACAACTGCACCTCACGTTAAAATAGTGTACTCTACCACAGAACCAATGAGAATTTCTCGCAGGACTGTACAGAAAGGAGCAGCTAGCCTCTGTCTGTCTGTCTGTCTGTCTGTCTCTCTCTCTCTCTCTCCATCTCTTTCTATCTGTCTCTGTCTCTGTGTCTCTCTCTCTCTGTCCGGAAATCAGCTCGGCCTCTTTTTCATCGGTTCCTTTAGAAAGATGTTAACGTGTTAACGTCTCTCAAAATGCAGCCTTCACAAACAGGACACATTTCATCGTCCCGAAAAAGAGAGTCATAAAATGGTACATTTCAGATGCGGACATTTCACACACCAACCACACTTGTATACTTCTTATTTATTATTTGTTTTGTTATAAATTGTTTTCCTGTTTAACTCGCACGAAACGGTTCGGTATTATTTACTGCTTGTATCCCGTCTCGCATGATTTGCATTTCTCCCCCTCTCTCTCTCTCTCTCTCTCTCTCTCTCTCTATGTGTCTCTTTCTCTCCAAATCTGCTTTTTACGACTACTAAGATTAATGGCAGCGATTGACAGTATCGTCACATGTTACTTTCAGACCAATGACTGTATGTCTTTGTTAGAATGTAGTTTAGGGAGTTGCCTTTAAAAGCTTTAGCCATGAAAAAAGATAACATCCACAGCAACCCAAATTACATTATCATTTCTATTATTATTGTTATTATTATTGTTGTTGTTGTTGTTGTTTTGTATCCATTTGCCAGAGAATAATTTTAAGTGGCCAATTACCATGTCCCCTCCGTGGTCTATGAGTAAAATTCCACTGAATGAGAGTTACATAAGCACATTTGTATTGTTTCGTTTAGAATAAGAGGGTTTTCTAGATGACATGTATAGATCCGGACAAAGTAATCTTTTGTAGCTCTGAGATGCTGATGTCTCCAAGAATTTTAGTCATGATTTTCTGTGTCTTTCTTCATCACAACAGGCATAATAGCAGTTTTAAGTTATTATTATTAGTAGTATTAGTAGTGATGTGACATTAAGATACAAATATACGAAAGCTTAATAAAGGTATAGCAGTCACATGCATCACAGCAAAATGGGTTCGATATGGTGGCAGATGAAAGTGACACACAACCTTGAAGGCAGGACCCAGTTAGAAATCCCCTCAGATTGATTTATTGATTCCATCCCAAATTATTGCATTCTCTCTCATGTTTTCTCCCGGTCGAGGTGGCGAAATCTTTTGGGTTCAGCGATGAAAGACATCAACAAAGATAATTTTAACGTAACTATTTTATTAATGTCGACATGTAATAACTAACCAGTGGGGGTCGTTTCTCACTGGTGAGCCGTTTCAGACACGAAAAAGAACACGTCTACATTGCTTGACGTCTAAGACACGATTCTCTGAAAATCCATTCTCTATCTATCATTCCCATGATATCTCAGCCAATCAAAATCGTCTTACATCTGACCCCAATCTCCGAAAAATCGCGCTAAGATAAACTTCCCCATAAAAATAATAGTATTCTAAAGTTCAGTTGGGTGCGTTCCCTGGTCTCTATAGCAACTCCTAATCAGTCATCGCTGTATCATCCTTCAAACTTAAAATATACGAATACTCTCGAAAACCGACCATGATGCTCTCCTACTCTCCCACCCATGAACAGATATTCACGATGCATTCGCGCCTAGTGTGCATATCCAACTAATTACGGTCAGGCAACTGACAAGCAAATGTTTTGTGTGTTGTTTAATACAGTCTCATACTGTACCATAAAGAGTAAATTAGTAAAGTAGTACTAGATTGCCAGCTATGTCTCATCATTTTACACTTGAAATGGATAGATGCAACCGCAAGTTCTATGCTAACAGTTTCTTCTATCGCGCTTCTCGCTTATGGAACTTTCTTCTGGTTTCTTGCTTTCCAATCGTTTGATTTTTAAAAATTTAAATCCAATGTTAATCGTTACCTTCTGTCTTCCTGTACTTTTATTAGTCTCTCCCTCTATTTTTTTTTATTTTTTCTCATACGCTCTTACACTAAGTAACCGCTTGCGTCTTAGTGACTTTATTGTCTTGCTTAGGGTGAAATTAAAAAAATTATAATGTTTATATTTTCTCTAAATGAATAATACCCTCTTGAGTAGATGAGCAGTTTCACACTGTGTAATGCATTAAGTCTCTCAGTGCTCTAGATATGTTAGGTAAATTTAAGTTTTTTTTTTCAATTTAAACGTATTTATATTTATTTATTTGGTCATATTATTTAATGATAGATATAATGAAAAGTAACACGAGTAGTATCTATAATAAGAATGTATAAACATAAAATCTTAATATATATATATATATATATATATATATATATATATATATATATATATATATATATATGAAAAAAAATATATACGAAAAAAACAAAACAAAATCCTTATATACAATTATGCAATTTTAATTATAAATATGTCAACGTCGGACGTTTCGGTTAATAAACCATCTTCAGGAATATGTCCTGAAGATGGTTTATTAGACATGACAAACGTCCGAATTTGACATATTAACATTAAAACTGCATAATTGCATATGAGGATTTTGTTTTTTTTTTTCCGTATATATTTTTCTTCATACTGTCGGATCTATATCCATATATTTGCTTACATATATATATATATATATATATATATATATATATATATATATATATATATATAAACTCTACTCTCCTTACTATAATTATATGTACAATTCTACTACTGTGAACTATATTTTACTGGAATTGAATATATACAAAACCTTGTATGACATCTTAAAATTTAAGATGTTTAAATTCCGGTAAATTCCAGATATTCTTTCTACATTTTTATTTGGGAGTCTCAGGCCACTTTCGTTTTAAGATTCTGAGTATTGGCGTGTATTGCATATATTTAAAATAAAGGCCTGTACACGATTAAAAACAGCTTGATTATAAGCAATTGTACCCGAATTTGTCTAAATCTTAAGCACTTCTACTAGTGACGTCAGTGTGGATTAAACAAATAGTAAAAGAAAAGAAAAAAAAGGAAAATTCATAAAAATAGATTTACTAAATAAATTATTTTATGAGGTATTCAAGAACTGTAGCAAGTTTCTGGAAATGTGCGTAGCGTACTTTTGATTTTTTTTTTTTATTAGAGTTCACCCCATGTCAGGCAATAAAGCCACTAAGATACAAGTGGTTGCTAGGTTAGAAGAATTAGAGAAGTTAATGAGACCTCAGCGCCGGTCAAGTACTGAGCTCAAATTCAAAAGGTCTAGGTAGCAGATTGAAGAGTTCATCCGAACAATTACTGTTAATGTATTCATTTAAAAAAAAACAAACACAGAGAGGCAAGCATATGGCATTGGGAAAGTGACTGAAGCCGAGATGCCAGATCAAGATATTGCTGATTCTTCTTTGGGGTGATCCAATTCCGGCCGAGTGCTTTGCGTTAACTTTCACACAAATATCCCTGGAAAAGATACGAACCCATGTCTTTTCCACAACCCTAACTAAGCATTAATTACCAGGACAGACTGGGCTGTGTAGCTATGATGGACAACCAGTCTACGAGAAGGAAAAACTGTTGGACATCCAACCCTCTAAAAAAGCCTGCTTATTACAGAAACTACAGAAGGAAGACTAGCGTGATGTAGCCCAGGGATGCTTTTTCATCATCACACTGGCTGCAAGCGTAGCTATGGAGACTACTTTACCCCAGTGTGCAAGATGGCCGTTGACTTCATTCTCCCATTGACAGGTTTTGTTTATAACCATGCCGCCTGCCAGACCACTTTTCTCAATATAAACGCCTGCTGAGGGAATCGCTTTAGTCACTGCTTACTACACGCCAGGTTATAGAATAAACGAAGGATGGATTTATATGCATATCACGCAGTAGAGACATATTTATAAGGGAAATGTCTGACACAGATACTCCAGGCGAGTCAAGAGTAAAATTTACATGCAAAGCATACTGCTTCATCAGCAGATACCAATACTTCAAACTGTATAAAGAAAGAAAGGATGGAGGAATTACTCTTATTTAACAGGCTATTACGGAGCCGACAGTAATCACGAGAACCATACTTGTTAGAAGCGATATTGTGTTTCATTCTATCAAAAAATAAAACCTTAGCCTCATTGAGGACACGTTTACAATTATTACGTACGGGCACAAAGAGGTGTATGCTGTGATCAAAACTATCAGGTTGGTAGAACCCGAAAAAGGGATTCGTGTAGACTATAGCGGCTAAACAAGCAGGTGTGAACCAAAGACAAGATTATGGTTTCACTTGGTATCTCCTAAAGTGTACAAAAGCAACGATTCTTAACTCAAGAAGAAAAATCTAATTCCTTGAGCCGTCGTGAAGAAAAGAAATCTAACTCGGTAGGCTGTCTACACGAAGAAGTCTTGTGAAAGGTAAAATAAATTTAAATAGATACTGCAACGTGAGCCGAGTTTCCAACAGAAGAGAGTTGCGATGATCGAAAAGAGGAGGAAAGGATATAAGGAACAAATCTAATAAAGAAGTGTAATGGAATTAAATAATAAGTCATCTTGAGTTGACCCAGGTAATTGGCGCGCTATGGGAGAACTGTTTATTCTTCCATTTTCATTTTCCCCATTATGGGTATTAATATACCCATGATATAATAATACCTTATTTCACGGGCGTCACGGAATGGCTGAAAGAAAAATGAAATTCACTTGAAAATGCTACAAACATTTTTTATGATAGATAGATAGATAGATAGATAGATAGATAGATAGATATAGATAGATAGATAAAAAAAAAGGATAGATAGTTGGTTCACTGTGTGGTGCAAGATAATTTTTTCTCATACGAATCTATCTTACATATTTATAAGTGTACCATTTGCCCATGGTTTGAAAATTGCTGACATCTGGTCTGGTGCTTCTGTTATATATTTAGAGATTCTTGAATTTGAAGAAGAATTTGCAATATTCATTCGCCCTGATCTGGCATTTAGGCTTCAATCACTTTCCCACCGCAGTAACATAGCTTCCCTGGGCCTTTTTTCATAAATATTCTAATGGGAATTGTTCTAATGTGCTTTCTTCTTTGGTAACTAGACATTATGAATTTAAGCACAGTACTAGTTTGGCGGCAAGATCTCATCATTTTACAACTGAAATGCCTAGATGTAACCGTAAGTTCTATGTTAATATTTTCTTCTCTCGTTATTTCCGCTTTTGGAACTCTTTTCCTGTTTCTTTCCAATCAACATCAAAAATTTAATTTCAATATCAATTCTTATCTTCTTTCTTCTTAATTTATGCTATTTTATTGTTCTCGCGCCTAAATAGTGATTTTCTTTTTCTTATATTCTTTCATATTCAGTAACCGCCCCCCCTTGCATCTTAGTGGTTTTGTTACCTTACTTGGGGCTAAAATGAATAAAAAAAGAAAACAAATAGTTAAAGATAGATAGATAGATAGATAGATAGATAGATAGATAGATAGATATACAGACTTAGAAAGAAAGAAAGAAAGAAAGAAAGAAAGAAAGAAAGAAAGAAAGAAAGAAAGAAAGAAGTTAATATTTCTATGACCAGGCTGGATTAGATAGATAGATAGATAGATAGATAGATAGATAGATAGATAGATAGATAGATAGATAGATTTAAAAAGGAAGGAAGGAAGGAAGGAAGGAAGGAAGGAAGGAAGGAAGGAAGGAAGGAGTTAATATTTCATGGACAGATGGATACCTATGACCAGGATAGATAGATAGATAGATAGATAGATAGATAGATAGATAGATAGATAGATAGATTTAAAAAGAAAGAAAGAAAGAAAGAAAGAAAGAAAGAAAGAAAGAAAGAAAGAAAGAAAAAAAGAAAGAAGCTAATATTTCATGGACAGATGAATACTTATGACCAGGCCGGATTAGACAGATAAGATAGATAGATAGCCAGCCAAACTTTAAAAGATTGCTAGATAGATAGCCAGGCATTCATTTGTATGTTATCTCGCCTGACTTAACGGATGTATCTTTGTGAATAATACGTTTGCCTTAGCTTTTCATATTTTAAATTTTTCCCCTGAGGCAATAAAAACTTGCTTTGTAGGTTTGACGCTTCGTGAATATCGATGTTTTTTTTTTCCTATCAAAACCAACCTCTACTAAAACTGTATTATTGATTTTTTCCTTCTCAAAATAAAACTCGATCTCTGCTTCTTCCCCAAAGCATTTGTTTTGCCTAACCTAAATTAGAACTTACATTCTTAAACTATCTAACATGCAAAGTATTGGGGCGAACACTTCTATGTGCCGTGCCCTTTCAGGACATTGGCTCTCCACAATTTCCTGTATTTTTATAGCTCTTAGTAATGTTTATCTTTTTGCCATCTCTCACAAACACTGCTCTTACAAGATGACCCGGATGTTATTCTTTGATTTCCTCTATCGCCCTTAACTTCAATCTGTCCTGTGACTAATATATTTTCCAAGCCGTCTTTCTTCATTAGCTGACCTAGAAATATCAACTCTCTCTTCCTGATGTTAAGTATAAATGTATTTGTGTCCCATTGTTTGTTTCTCACATGTTCAGTCCATGGTATTCTCATTATTCTTATGTAGAACCACGTATCCGTTTCTTGAAGTCTTTTCTTTATCTGCGAGATGACTGCCCAGCATTCAATTCCATGTAGTAGGATTGATATTATATAACATTCAAGTACGCTTTTCTTAGTTTCTAACGAAATTATCATGTTTCTTAATACTTTGCTTTCGCTATCCCAGTAGCGCCTTCGGATTTCCATGTTGCCCTTTCCAGATATTTAAATTGTTGTACTTGTTTGATTCTGTTATGTCCAATTTGTAATTTGCATGTTGGGCTGCCCCTTTTGCTATCAACCATGCATTCAATCTCTTTTCATTTGATTTCTAACTCTTTATTGAATTTATTATTGATGCGGAATCTTTTTCTTTTTAATCAGAATCATTTGTGCCGTTGTTTAAACAATCTTCAGTAAGGAATAAGTTATAAATATTCCTGTTTTAATTTAAGCATTATTTTATATATGGTTTTGATTTCTGTTGATCATGAACATTTTTCCTGTAATGAAGGTCAGTCGTACTTTTTTTTTTTTACCGATGAACAGAAAACTGGAGTCAAAAGATGTGGTTCTACAGAAGAATTTGTATGTACAGAATAAGTAAGTAACTAAGAATTCTTAAAGAAAATGGTAATAAAAATCACTTACAGTAAGAATCAAAAAGAGAAGTGAAATTTCTTCGATATATAATGAAGCAAGGTTTAGAAACATTTAACCTTCACAGGTAATATAAAAGGTAAGTGTCATAGGGGAAGGCAGAACGCCATTTACCTGACAAGCTTTCACGAATAGATGGCGGAATGCGAGGCAGGGGAAACGCTGCTATGGTCCACAATTGATAAGTGATTGTGGGGAGACATGTATGCACGTATCCTGAAGGGACAAAGTATTATTATTATTATAATACACAGTATATATATATATATATATATATATATATATATATATATATTATTATTATTATTATAATATACAATATATATATATATATATATAGATATAGATATAGATATAGATATAGATATAGATTGAATATAATCTCTACATTTTATGTCAGTGGAAAACATGAGATGTAATGAGTTGCTTTCTTGGGGGTTAGCATCAGCCATACTGATGAAAGACTTAGTATGAAAAAGTATTATTATTATTATTATTATTATTATAGTAGTGGTAGTAGAAGAAGAAGAAGAAATGAAGAAAAAAATACAAACTAAATACTTCGAAATACCTTTGGTTGTTATAAATACATTCATGGTTAGTGTTCTGAGGAACACTCTACTATTTGACCTGAAACGCATTGGCAGCAAGTTCCTTTAAAATTGAAATGTCTCGATGTAACCGGAAGTTCTATGCTAACAGTTTCTTCCCTCATATTTCTCGCTTGTTTGACCCTCTTCAAACTTCTTGCTTTCCGTTAACTATGATCTTCAAAAATTTAAATGCAATATCAATCGTCATCTATCTGTCTTCTTAATTCCTGTTTTTTAATTGTTCTTGCTCCGTAATAATGTATTCCTTTATTCTTTAACGCTCTGTGTCTTAATGGCTTTGTTGCCTTGATTGGGGAGGGGGTGACGAATATTTTTAAAAAAATGCATTACACAGAAAAAAAGAAAGAAATATGAAATTAATTTATTGACACTATTTACATTATTCGGACTATTTATTGTCCTTATCTTTGTTGCCAAGGAGGACACATGGCACAGTGGACGTTGATTAGATCCATTGACAGGACCCAAAGAGTTGTGAGTTCAATACCTGGTTAAGGCAGTGGAGAACTTGGAGAGGTGAATTAACAAGAGATAAGTGATAACTGACATCTATTAGACATGGCACGTGGAACTAGAACAGTCTACACCAGCGAGCGAAATAAAAGGTTCAGTTCGACATTCCAACTACCTGAAGAAGGCTGGAGTGTACAACGGCCGAAACGTTGTGATAAATATGGTAACAAAGTTGAAGACAATAATGCGAATAATGTAAATAATGTACATAATACATCATCTCAGAAATATAGACAGATTAATTTATTCGTTTCTTGTACTTATCCCTTTTCTGCTCTCTTACTAAAATTAATTAACCTGAGACCCAACTCAATATGTTGACACAACCTGTTAGGATTGTCTTGACTGTACTGTGAAACGGCAGTACACTGGTCTACCGCGGAAGGTTATTTTGAGTTGAAATTTATAAACCATTTCTCTCAAAACTGTTAGGAAAATAGGCTTCTCATAATCAGTAACTGTTATCGATCTTTCTAGTACTCATGGGAGTTTGCATCCTAACCTTTTTCTTTAAGATAACGTTTAAAGTCAACACCTTTATTATATCCTTGTTTTCCCATCTAGTTACTCATTTTAGTGCTTGCTGCTGATAGGACATTTCAAGCAATGTTTAATTTATTTGGTACAATTCTATGTGATTTTGATGAAGGATCACTTTCTTTAAAGATTCATTCGATTCTAACCATCTTTAATTATTGATCTGAGAATATATTCGTATAGCTGATAGTTTAGACATTTTCGGACTATTATACAAGTCCCAAGTCCCAAGAGCCACTCGATATAGAGGGTTACAGAGGGTTTATGGAGATCTGTAAGGATGATAACTGTTAAATCTCTACTGAACAAGTTAAGATTGTAATTATCGGGAAAGCATCCTCTTGGGAGTCGGTTTCACAAGTTAAGATTGTAATTATCAGGAAAGCATCCTCTTGGGAGTCGGTTTCACAAATCAATGGTTTATGTGAAGACGCTGCTTAAATAGAATTTACATGTAATACGAAGTGAATGAAGGTAGTTTTCTGTAATGTGCATTGCATGCCGAGTCTAAGCCGCGAAGGTTAGAAATGGTGGAACTAAAGAATATAGTTCGTCTGAATACATTTTATAGAAATATGCGATGGAGCAGCGAGTGGCTTGCAACCTTTCGACTCCGAGAAAGTGGTTATAAGGCAGAAAATAATTTATCACTCTCTCTCTCTCTCTCTCTCTCTCTCTCTCTCTCTCTCTCTCTCTCTCTCTCAATAGATAGATAGATAGATAGATAGATAGATAGATAGATAGATAGATAGATAGATAGAATATAATTTCTCCATTTTATGTCAGTGGAAAACATGAGATGTAATGAGTTGCTCTCTTGGAGGTTAGCATCAGCCATACTGATGAAAGACTCAGTATGAAAAAAATGCCGTATTTTTCAAATTATACACGCATCTATTTTTTATTTATTTTTCATTTTTTACATGTTTATCGCTTAATGTAATTAATTTTTAATTATTGGAGAAATGCTATTTTTCATTGTAAAATTTCTATTCGACGAAAAATATTATTCGTTCAATGACAATTCTTTTTTAAAATCAATAGAAAGGCACACAGCAAAGTCCTACTTATTGTTCAACTTTTCTAATTAACAAAGAGCTGAGTTAATTCAATATAACAAAAACACCATTGATCAAATCTAAGGCAAACAGCATATCGATGCATATGCATTCTGCAGGCACATTTGATCTTTAGCAGGTCAAAAGAATCTCTATTCTTTCAAGAGGTCAACGGCAATTTATATTCCCACCTGTACTGCTCAAGAAAACTAGTTCAAAGCATTAAATCTATAAAATAATTAATAACTAACAATAACGATTGGAACTGGTGGGAAGTGAAAAGCTTTTGCGAAAACTCAATTTGTTGAGAATTTATGAAACTCAATGCAGAGTAAGACTTCCGCATTTGTGACGAAGCAAGTCATTCATATTTTTAGAAAATTAAACTCTTAAAACGCTTGCTGTTAAAATATTCTTTAATTATTCCAGTCACGCTTCCTTGTACATAATGACAATACTTCTATTTTAGTTTGTAAAGATTAATAAAAACGCAATAACTTTTTATTCATTACGCTCCAAACAATGCAATAAAGACGCAAAGGGTTACTGAGTCTAAAAGAATATGAGTCACTGTTAAGAACAGTGAATAATAAGAGAACGAGAATCAAAACAGAAGATAACGAATAACATTGCAATTAAAATATTGAATATCAAATTTTTATGGAAAGCCGGAACAGATCTCATCATGCGAGAAAGTGATAGAGGAAACTCTTAGCATAGAACTTACGGTTATATCTAATCATTTCAGCTGTAAAATGATGAGATATTACCACTAATCTATTACTACGCTTAAAGTTATAAATCCTAGTGTTGTATCGTGAAATGGGTAAGTCGATACACATATAAAATGTAGTAGGAATTCATACCGAAGAATAATACGGTTCTAACAGTCAAGAACACGATTTACTGGAATAACGATTAATCGTGATCTTCACCTCAGTTCTGTTCAAATATTTATTTTGTAATTATCCAAAATTGTGGCACAAGACCGAAGGGAAGGGACTGGTCTTCATTAGCTATCCTCGTTCTAGTTAATCCGACTCACGATACATTCAGTCATTACAATTTATTCATTCACTGCTCTATCACCTCTCAATCCTGAATATGCCACAATACGATATATTCACAGAGGGAGACCTACAAAACATCCTATGGTATAAAAAATTGAAAGTCCGTAATATCGTTTTTTTTTTCTTTTTTTACAAAAATATATAAAAAATCTACTAAAAATGTAACACAAAAATAAAATCAAAGCAAATGTTATTATGACCCATCCACCCCTCCAAATGATAAGAGGGGCCGCTGTATTCTGCCAATAGACACAATGATTTATTTATTATTGTAATGATCAATTATTTTGGCACAGGGGTGAAGGAGAAGTGGGAAAGCACTGGTCTTTGCTAACTATTCTAGTCCTAGTTAATCACGACCCATTCATCTGATACATTTTATCCATTTACCAAAAGAACTCATCCGTCACCATTCAATCCTACTTATACCACAATAGCACATATTCACAGGGGGGAACCTACAAAAACACCCCCATGATATAAAAATCTCAAAATGTTTAAATACAAAAATATATAAAAATTTCATGAAACATGAAATGAGGGGAGGGAATGAATCCCGTAAACTAACAAAAATTAAAGACAAAAACAAACTAAAACAAAATGGATGTTAATAAAACCCGTCCACCCCTAAAAATAACCAGAGTGGTTTCTGTATTCTGCCAATAGAGGGGGAAGAGTAAAAATAAATGACGGAATGAGAAAAATCAGTCTGACCCAGCCGGGATGAAAAAGGGGACCAAAAACAAACTGAAGAGGTTGGAAATCTCAACATGGATTATATTAAAAGAGAATGCTGGGAAAAGGCCATGAACAACATTTGATCAGATTAACTAGGAAAACATAATAGTGTCTAACTTAACCAGGAGAGAGTTTACAGGAAACCGCCCAGTTGCATCAAGAGGAATTAAAAGAGAAAAATCAAGGCTAGCCCCGTCCACACAAACCAGGCTCTCCTCAGTCAACCACCTTTCGCTGAAATCTGTCGAAATCAAACACTTTCTATCAGCTCTGATTTTAACCCTAAGCAGATGCTTAAAGAAAACAACCAGATCCTGATACGAATAACGTTCATCTTACAAGATTCCCTCTTGTCGCGATGTCCACACCACCATTCTTGCCACGGCTAGCAATGTAAAAGGCTTCATCCGTTTTACTCCGGAGAACGGAGAGACACATTGTCACGCTCGTACGCGACATCGAGGGATACGTGCCGATCGAGAGCGATACGAACCGTCAACTCGCTGATATAATCCCAAAAAGGCGGACCTGATGACAATGGTAGAAGGCGTGCGAAACAGTTTCCTCTAAGCCAAGGTCCCACCGATGACAGTTGGGAAAATCTACCTCGCCCCATCTGAATGTTACGCCATTGAGAGTTCCGAATCAATCGCCAGCTAAGCGAAACCCAGGGTTCCTTAGATAATCCCCGTTAGTTCCCAAGACCAGAAAGTGCGCATCTCTGATGCTGAAAAGCCAAACCGGCCACACAGAGGATCCTTCGCGACCTCCTCGACTAATTCACGATAGAATGGCCTCAGAGGCCGAAAAAGGTCACTGGACAGACTAAAGGCCGACCAACACTCGCTGAGGAATATCGACAACCTTCCACGACCGCGACGGCGTTTAACCCAATAAATAGGAAGAGTGATGGTAAGTCTAAGGAAGGCGTCCCTAACACTCAGTCCACCCATCAAAACGCAGCGTAGGAAATCCAACCTTGAGGCATGGCGATGACTCGCCAGGTGTGGCAATCCCAGTCCCCCTATGATACAGACGCTGGAAACAGACTTCTTTATTGACGCGACCACCCCAATAATAGGGTGGTCAAAAACCCTCAGCCATAACAAGGCAGCTATTCTGACGGCTTCTTCTGCATTTTCCAGCCTAGTCTGCTGCTGTTGTTGTTTTTTATTTTTTGCCTGTTGCTGCTGATTGTAGCTTAACGGAGTTGATTGAGAAGGTCGATTTCCAATCCATACCGAATGTTCATTTCATAATGAATCCTTTTAATTTTATAGTTTGGCCCATAAATGGTACATTTATATAAAATTATCCATCAAAATTTAGTTTATTTTCTGTAATGCTCTGAGCCACTCTTTTCATGATCAATAAAGTTGGTCCGCCATTTTTTTTAAAGGCTTTATTAATATCATATCTAAACCGGTATTCAATTAGAATTTAATATTTTTGTCGTTCACATTTTCTTTGTTTTCGACCATTTGTTTTAATTTTGTGACTGATTTTTTTTTTTACAATTAAAGATTTTTTTTTAATTTAAATTGATATTCATTGTAATAATGAATCTGTCCACAACCATAACAAGGATTTATTTTCCAGGAAACGTTTTTTTTTATTTTGTTTTTTGCTTAACTGTTTGAATATTTGACACGCCACGTATTTTTGGCTATTCTATATATATATATATATATATATATATATATATATATATATATATATATATATAATATATATATAAAAATTTATTAAAAATTATAACACAAATAGACACACCTCGTTAGAGGAAACGCTGTTACATAAGCTGCAATAAGGGTGTCTGATCGATTTGAACCTTTTAAAATGCTTTATTCTACATTCAACACCATCACTTGATAAGACACCAGAAGTGTTAAAACAAAATGGTTATTTTTGCAGTGATCTTATAACATATTTATGTTATAATTTTTGAATAAATTATATTTGCTCTACTCTGTATTGAGCACTCTATTAAAAATAGTATTTGTTTTTTTTTTTTTTTTTTTTTTTTTTTGGTTATTAGAATTTATTCCTTATACACCAATTCTATACTTGGAGATATATAACAAACGTTTAAGAGAGGAATTGACCAAGTCCCTTACACATCGCAAACAAAAATGTGGATTCCGCATCTGAAGAAGGCTAGACCCTAAAATCGCAAACTCGTTAATTCAATGACGGTGAAAGTTGAATAGATATAATTCTTCATATGAGAAGTCTGCTTTTGTGTGATTATTAACTGACACAATGACTTCATTAAACATATTTTCGGGTTAATATTGATCCTAGTTCTGTATTCTTTTCTCATTTTCGTCCATATCATGGCGTCCGGCTACAGGACAATCGTGGTGAAGGTCGAAAATACCAATATTTTCTTTTCCTGAAAATCAAAAAAAAAATATCAACACAAAAAATCGAATTTTTATTTGATTCAAAGTTTTCTAGCTTGTATTCTTCTATTCTATCTCTGTTGTTTTCAGAAATGGTAAATGTAATGCCGATACTTGTCGATTCCATCAAAGAAATATTCAGCATTCATTGACCAAAACTGTTAGGTATACTTTCGGTTGGAATATAGTTCTAAAAACAGGAAATTAAAATTGACATTTAACTAAATGTTATCCCTCATTTTTAGTATTAATTCCTCTTGTAAAATCAATTAGTATTCATTCTTATACTAAAATCATTTAAATTGAATTAATAAGATTCTTATCCCTCGAAGAACATTTCGGCGTCCAATAATCGAAGACTTAACGTTACGATCGGTTGAAATTCACAAAAGCTTTTGTTCTTAAAATAGTTTGCAAGAAATTAGATTTCTCAAGTCCGCTTCATGTTATTGCACTTCTTGTAACGATTGGAATTTCCTTCCAAAGCTTTTACGAAGAATAGACTTGAAGCAACAGACATTTAGTTCTCCAGAAGATACTGAGAATACCATGAACCGAGCATGTGAGCAAACACGAAGTTCTAGAAACAATGGAAACAAAATGTACACTTATACTTAACATTAAGAAAAGACAATTGAAATTTCTTGGACACATTTGTTGTTTTGTATATATATATATATATATATATATATATATATTAGCGGAAAAATGGGTAATTTAATGTCGAAATATGAAAATAATATAATAATTCAACAGAATAAGAATATTCCGTGATTAACTTAGAATTAATTCGCAACAACTTTTTTTTTACAAAATATCTTACAAAATCAGACAAAGAGTGAAAAGGTGTTTCTTCTTAAATGAAATGAAATTAATCAGGCATTATTTTTTTTTGACAATTTGTGCTATGTCATCAATTTTGCTATAAAATGTCATTTTATTATAAAAACATATTGGTAACTCTTTTATAAAAATATATTTCTGAGATTTTCAGCAGAAAAGTTTATTGTCATACTTTCCTAGTGTTTTGATTTTAGTTTAAGAGTTCCCTATTTGTCCATAGCTGGGACCCTAACAGGAAGTATACATCCCGAATCGGTGGACCTGAAAATAGCAGCAATTAAGATGTGGTTCCACGCTGCTAATAATCTCTAATCGCCCAACCAGAGGCCTTGTTGCTGGATGTAATTTATTGTCATACCCAGGATGAACATATAATAAAGCAAAAAAGGCTTGGAAAATTTGATATTCTCAGGGAAGCTAGAAGGTAAGAGAAACAAAGGAAAATAACTCATAATCTACTTTTAGGAAATAGCGGGACATGGTTTGCGAGATATAGCGAAAAGACGGCATTTTTTAAGACCGAATGCGGAAAGATATGTTCACCAACTTTCTGGGTGAACATTTCCTCTCTAGTTGCATGTGCTAGCCATTTTTTTTTCTCGCTGTTAGAAGAACGGGTGTTTCGCAATTTTTGAAACAAAATGATCGGGTACAAATCTAGGATCACAAATATTAGAATAATGGAAATTACATTTGTTGACAGGTAAAAGTCTAGGATCTGCAACCATTTAGTCTCAAACATGAAGCAAAAATGTCAAGAGTAGCCCGAGAGTACATGTTCCAGATATCCGCCGTTCAGTTGCAGGCACCGTTGAATTCAAAGCTGTTTATAACGCGTGCACATTCCTCCTGGGTGATCTCTTGATTCTTTTCAGTGATGGCTGCCTTCAATGCAGCAATGGTAAGAGGGCTGCCCTGGTAGATGTTGTTCCTAAGGAACCCACAGAAAAATCTGGTGAGGTCAGGCCAGGCGAGAGGTGCTCATTTCACTTCAGCTATGCAGTTGTTGAGCCGCTCCCCAGATTTTTCACGGAGCCATATTAAGATGGTAATATTAATAGTGTGAGGTGGAGCGGCATCCTTCTGGAACAACTGTTCCTCCTCATGAATGTTCTCACGGTGTTCGAGCTCTCTCCATCTGAGAGGCCACTGCTTTGTTTCAATAAATTGTGAAACACTCTGTATTTAACTCAGGTAGTTTTCATTATTTGGCACAGGTCTTTGTGATTGTGTAGCACCAATAATTAGGTTCTGAAGAAGAATTGTCTCCTTTAAGACCTAAATGATTCATTTGCAGGAAGGCATTTTAATCATTGATCTGAAATTGAAAAAAAAAAAAAAAAAAAAAAAACACTTACAATCCATAATTTGAATTTGGTGAGATAGCTCCAATTTTCAAGTTGTTACCAACTGCACCAACTTTTTCTCAGACCATGACAAACGAAACGGCGACATTAATGGTAATAATCTAGTTTTGTTTTGTTTGGTTTGGTTTGGTTTTATTTGTTTAATGGCATACGTCAATGGGTTATTTAATGTCGGGATGATTTTCAGGATAAGATCGTATGAATAGAATATGTATTCTTTAAAGAAATCATTTTGTAGATCAGATTTCATTGACGTATTTTTGTAAAGAGGGTTTTTGTCGAGAGTCAAATGTATTGCTAATCATTTTTTTTTTTTTTTTCAAAAATATATTGCTGGTAATATTTTTTTTCCAAAAATGTGTTACTGTTATTTTTAATATAGAAATTTATTTTTATACTTTCATCGTATTTTGACCCCAGTTTTGGAGTTAACTATTTGCCCATAGCTCGAACCCTAACAGGAGCTACCACGCCGGGTTAGGGTTGACCCTGAAACAGCAGCAATTAAAAGATGGTTACACGCTCCTCAAAACCTCCCCAACAGAGGCCTTGCTAACGGATGTAGTTTTTCGTCATACCCAGAACGCTAATTGTTGTGGATTCCGGGATGAAATCCGGTCTCAAATGAATGACAAACAGAGGAATGAAATATAGCAAATAAATGTATTGATGTAATAATACAATGAAATACAGAAATGCGGTTAGTAGCAATAATAGTATATATACAGTCTGGGAAATTCAGTATCGAAGTATGACTTCCTTCTACGTGCTCGCAACTGTGATTCCTTCAAAGCGGTTACACTCTCACTTTCACTCTCTGACCCTATCACTCTATCAGAGTATCTCTCTCTGACCTCCGGGTATTCACCGGCAGCAGTACAAGTACACACTGGTCGAGTCCACTTGTATCAAAAAGGGGTGGACCCCATAACAATAATAATTATGAGAAATTAATCATTTCCCTGCAGATAAAGAAATTTTTTCTTTCTTTTATATGCTGCGTCCCTTCAGTACGTAGGCGATCATGTCCCTCCACATCTTCCTGTCCCTTGTAGTTATTAATAAGTTTTGTCTTTTTTGCTATTTCTCACAAACCCTTTTGTAACATTGATTTACACAAGCTCATCAAGAATGTTACACACTGCTTTCCTCTACCCACTCTTTACTTCAATTTGCCCTGGGAGTATCAGGTTCTGCAAGCCTACCTTCATCATTACGTGCTCCAGAAATGTCGACTGTCCCTTCTTGATGTTAACTATGAGTTTTCTTTTTTGTTTTCATTCTCTCCAAAAAAAAAACCTCGTCGTTTCTCATATGTTTAGCCTATGGTATCCTCAGCATCTTTCTGTAGAAAAGGATTTCTGTTGCTTCAGGTTTCCTCCTCATCTTTGAGGAGATCGTTCAGCATTTGATGCCATACAGGATCGCAGATATCGCGTAATAGTTCACCCCCTTTTCTTTTTTATAATGAAAAACATTTTACTTAAAACGAACTTTTACGAAATTTCTAAACTTCACAAACTTCTATCGCTCTTTCTCGTAATGATAACGGGTTACAGACATATTGCGTTGAAATACCGATTCTCGTACGAATTAAGCAACGTTGAGCCTTGTCAGTACATAGAAGGGTAACCGCTTGGGAACACCTGGTACAGTAATTGGGATGTGCATTTGATCGAATAGATAACGGCTTGGAATTGTTAATCGGCGAGCCGTTTCAATTCAAGTCGGGTTCATTATATACATTTACACGCAAATGCCCTTGAAGGTATGAATCCATTTCTTCTCCCTCATCTATGGGTTAATTAATAAGAAGCTAATTCATTATTGTCTCCAAAACATCTAAAAATATTTTCTGGTTTTAATTAACCTGCAAAAGGTAGATAAGCCGTAAAAAATCAATCAATCGTACTGATGGTAATTTCCTTGTTTAATATAGCGGGGAAGATCAACATCTTGATTATATAATTATTTTTCCCTTTTTGCTATCAATTTTAGTTGCTACAGCTGTTGAAAGTCTTCAATATGGTCTTTACTATTTAGCAAAGTTCTTTGTTCGTGATTTTGTTGCGCCAGAAGATCTAGTGAAGAATAGTCTTCTTTAACACCTAGACCTCGAGGATTCATTCGCTTGAAGCCATTATTAATCAGTGATCTGTGAAATTAGTTGTATATAGCTGAGAGTTTAGATATTTCTGAACGACGCCATGAAGGACGGCCATATGGGCGTCGAGATCTGACGAGGTTATTTAAGGACAGCACTTAAGTTCTCGGGTTAATATTTAGTTTTGCGGCATCTTGTAGAGATGGACAAAACTACAGCTTAAGCAACCTATTCTGCGATCAATTTATCGTTTATCTTCTGCTGAATTTCTGATAACTGATTCAAACACTGAAGCATTTGAAGTTAGTACATCACGAGAGAAAAATCTTTGTGTCACGAAAGACAGGTTTTCCTCTTTTACTGTAGGGAATGCCAGTCCTTGGATCTTCAACAGAAAGACATAAAGAAGATCAAAGGTGGAGGAAACAAAATGCTGCTAACTACCAGGCATGTACCACGTGGAGAAGCAAGAGGTCAATGCTTGGTGTCAAAAGTACAAACTGTTAGATTATTGAAGACACTAGTACCAAAAACCAAATCTTCAATCGTTTTCCTGACAG